GACCCGGGTTCGGGTTTCTTAACATTTTATAGGTATTGTTCAAATATTCCAGATGGACTCAACAAGGATTTTATTTAGTTATTGGTTTGACTCAGGATCCAAATTAAGGAACACGTGTTAGAATGCTTTGTCAATCTTTTAAAATCTATTTGAAGACATTAATTTTTAAGTCATTTCTAGGAGTTTGTTGATGGTATCTTCATGATGTTTTTTTAAACATGTTTTTCCTTATTTTTGAAATTCCCTGTAACTTAGGAGTTAGATTAAAGTTCTTTGACCACAATATTTCAGAGGCAGAGCTTTGCACTTCCTGTCAAATCACATTGGGGAACAGTATGGTCATTGGGCTTGGGTGTTGAGCAGACAGCTTGCTGTTGGTTGTAAATGTCCCCATTAGCTTTTGGCCTAATGCTTTAAGCAGCAATTGAGGATTGTTGCCTAGATCAGTTATTTAACGAGGGTTGCAGTATCTCTTATTAATTTAAAACCATGTAGAACATTCGCATGGTTCAAAATTTAAAAGTTATTAAAGGTATGCTGTCAAATCTCTCTTCTCTATTCCTTTTTTTTGTTTTGTTTTGTTTTAAATCTTCAGATAGAGCAGGAGGGAGAGTGGGAGGAAGAGAGAGAGAGAAGCATCGATTTGAGAGACACATCTACTGGTTGCCACCCATACAGCCCCAACTAGGACCAGGGACAAACTGCAACCGAGGTACGTGCCCTTAGCGGGAACCAAACCCAGGACTTTGGTCCATGGGCTGATGCTCTAACCCCTGAGCTGAACCGGCCAGGGCTCTTCTATATTTTTAAGTTACCTGGTTGCCACCAGAGGTAACCAGTTGTTAAGTTTCTTCAGTTAGCTAGAGTTTGTGTGGATAACTGAGGGGAAAGTATGCATTTCCTTTTTGTACATAAACAGTCTACTGTGCACTTATTCTACTCTTACTCCTCCTTTTTGTTTAACTTCTCAGTATATTTTTTAGACTATTTCCTATTGGATAAGGTTTTCTTATTCCTTTTTATGGCTACATGGTATTCCAAAGAGGATAGGTATCTATTTTATATGGCCAGTCCCCCGTGACGATCATGGTGTGTGCTGCATTACACATTGGCACATCATACATATATCTGGGAAAGATTCCTAGAAGCAGGACTGTTGGGTCAGAACAGTACATGTTTGTCATCTTGATGGTTAGTGCCATGGCGAATGCTTCTACTCATGGTCGGTGAGATTTCCAATTTTCACGTCTTCACTAACATGAGTTGTCAAACTTTGGGTCTTTGCCCGCCAGAGACCCAAAAGGTATAAAAATGTATTTCATTGTGGGCCTGACAAAATTGTCATTAAAATATTTCCTTGTCTAGCTATTCCGTGCCTTTACCCTCAGTTTGCGCTTGATGGGCAGGACTTCTGGCACTTTCCCACTCAGGAGCCACCCAAAACTCAGGTGTTTTATGGGGGGGGAGGGTGCCTCCCAGTCTTCTCTTTAGCTTCTTCCAGCCTAATGCAGCCTCAGCCTGACCATGCCAGGGCCAGGCCTTGATCTTGATTTCTTCAGTGTTTGTTCAGGAATTCCCTAGGAAAGGGTGTGTATTTGCTACTAGGTAATCTATATAAGTGCATTCAAGTTTCTAAACTTGAACACTGGCAAATAGCAATGTTGATTCATTAGTCTAACCTGTGGAAAAGTTACGGAGCACTACATTTCTTCAATATTCATATGTTGAAAATGTAAATGACTCGTTTCTGTTTAATTTAGTGAAAGTACAGTTAACCTTTTCCTTATTGTCTTGCTCTGTGATGGTATATTTGACAGAACAACACACCATATCAACTAATTTCCAAACTGTCTTTAATATACCAAATGTGACCAGTTTTGATTATACCTAGTTTTTCTGTCTTGGATGTACAGTATATACTAGTTATATTTTATAAGTCAGATATCCCAGGTTAGAATCTCTGTGTCACCTTTGGGCAAGTTCTTTCACCTCTTTCTTTTCATCTAGAAACTGGGCTGCTGATAACTGCCTCAGAGTTGTGAGGATGGTTTAGGAAGCCAAAACACAGCAGACTTCTTATACCATCACTTGGTAGTTTAGAAACTATACCTCAGTTTCTTTCCCTGGGAAATAGAGATGTTAAGAGTCCCTACACGGTTATTTTGAGGCATGTGTGCAACAGGCAACGCTGCACAGCGCCACGTTTGCCATGACCATTTTGACAATGTGGTGGTGTCTTAGATTCACCTGATTGCTGGCCGGTGTCACTGCTGCTGGGCAGGCAGGGTCAAGAACTGCACAGACAGTCCTGTGTGTGAAGGGACGGTCTCCTGCAGCAGCAATGAGAACTACTGTATGCCAGTGCTACACTCAAGTTCCCTTAGTAGTTCATGTTTCATCTCATCACCTTTGAGTTGGAGAAGTCGTGTGACTTTCTAGTAAGTGGTAGGTTGTAATTAGGACTTAATTTTTAGACGCAAGTAATTTTTAGATTCAAGTACCTTTAAAAAATATAATTTAGACCTACTCTTTGATTTAGGAACCGCTCTGAAACTGAGAAAGAAGCACATTGAAGAGAGGGAGAGGCCGGAGAATAGAGCCATCTTTTAAAGAACCTGGCAGTTAGCCCTAGCTAGGTGGCTCACTTGGTTGGAACATCATCCTGTACACCAAAAGATTTCGGGTTCAATTTCTGTTCAGGGCAGATACTTAGGTTGTGGGTTTGATCCCTGGTAGGGGTAGGTATGGGAGGCAGCTGATCGATGTTTCTCTCTCTCTCTCCCCCCTTCCTCTCTTCCCCTTTCTCTAAAATCAATAGAACATATCCTCGGGTGAGGATTTTAAAAAAGGGGTGGGAGGAGAATAGAAAGAACCTGGTAGTTAAAAGATGTCTCTGCCATCTACCTGTTCTATTTTGTGAAGTTTACTGTTTAGTTTATAACTTATAGGACTCTAATTTTTTCTTGCCAAGCCAATTTGGGTTCTGCTTAAGATATAAGTGGTTTCTCTAATTGGTAAAGACAGTGGCAGGGTGTGAAATGTCTGTTCCCTACTTGGCCCCTGATGAGTGGATCCTCTGGATCTGTGTCAGGCGTGAGGTGGCTCTGTGTAGACATTAGAGGGGATCAGCACTAGTCTCAGTGCCTGTGTGTGGGTGAACTGGGGTATCTCAGGCCATTCTCTTAGAAGCTGTTGTCCTTGATGAGCACAGGTGGTACATGACCCATATCAGTTCACTGGCACTTTGATCCCAGTGAGTTCGAACTTGTTAGCACAACTGATTTACTCTACATTTTTCCAGGAAATAACTGTGTACAGGCGAACAAATGCCAATCATTTGCTTTCCTGATTGTTTGATTTGTACATTGTGAAATATTCTAGTAGAGAATATTTGGGTGACCAACAACAGGAAAGAGGCCTTGAATTCCAAAGTCATAGAGTGAAATCTGGGGGTTAACCTTGGTGAATGACGTATCCTGGAGGACTCAGCACCACCACAGAGTCTCTTCCCTGTCTTGACCTACTTTCAAGAATGCATTTAATTTTATGCATAACCAATGGACATAGACAACAAAGCTGGGGAAGAGGTGCAGGGGATGGGGAGGAAAGTGTCAGTGGGGGGAAAAGGAGAAACATCTGTAACAAAAACAAATTAATAAAAATAATTTTTTAAAAAAATGCATTTAATTTAAAAAAGTGTTTGCCCTGGCTAGTTTTGTTCAGCGGTTAGAGTGTCGGCTGGAAGAACTCTCACATGGATGTTTCTTTCTCTCTCTCTTCCCACCTTTCTTCTCCACTCTTATCTAAAAGTCAATGGAAAAATATCCTCGGATGAGGATTAACAAAAAAAAAAAAGGAAAGGAAAGAAAGAAGAATATTTAAGATTTCTGGAGGAGACCATAACCCTCTCCAGTGATCCTCCTGTTTATTCCCGTGACAGTCCATCCTTGTGGAGCACTTTCTTAACAGCTGACTCGCTCTCTCCTGGCCATCTTTGGGGGGAGGGGTATAGAGTACCACTTGATCTGATGGCCTAGTTTTCATCTGCCTTGCTATCATTTCCACCCAAAATTTTCTTTTCCCTATTTTTTTTTTTTTTTTTTTTTAGTGATAGAGCATACTGTCTGACCCTGTCATCCATGGCTATACTCACTTGCTTTCATACTTAACTTGATGCTGACATTAGTAGGCTGGCTTGTGGGTGTAACTTAGGAGGTGCTGCTTATTACTGGTTGTAGCCTGAAAGCTGGACACACTAGGAAATCACTTTTCCTGTTTGTATGTATATGAAGTTATGTTGGGGCCTTTGACTAGTATGGCAAATTAACTGCTTAGCATATGTGACAGCTTGTTAATTAGTATTTTATTGTTTCCCACCAACACTCTTCAGAGTAAGTAATTTGATTTTTAGAGTTTCTTTTCTTTTATCTCTTTGGGTAAGTGATATACCAGTTCTCCTGCTACTTTAGACACTAGGCAATAACTAAACGTATTCACAGCTCTCAGTAATATTTGTTCTATTGTTTTGTTTTGAGGTGGAAGGGGGAGCTCTACCCTCAGAACATGAGGGGTAATATTTGCGTGGCTCACAAAGACCAGTGAGTACATCATCTGCATTTCCCACAGCTCACCAGAGGAGGGCTCTAACACCAGTCTCAGTCCAGCCTTTTCTGTCCCTCAGAGAACACTATTCATTATGGCCAAGTGTTGTAATTTTCCTTAATATTTTCTTGGAAACGTTATTGAGGGATGGGGGTCCTTTTACAAATTTTGGAACTAAATAAATCAGATGAGAAGACCATGCTTCTGAATGATCATTTGGTTTAACAAAGCCCTTTGATTTAATGTGACTATGGATGTGTTGGCTGGAGTGTAGTTTAAGATCTTCCCACTGAACTTACAGGCTTTAAGAAACCAACCCAGGAGTTTTTCCTGTCGAACAAATGGGTTCTGAGATTGTACATGTAGTTGATCCTAGCTGTCTGCTTCTCCTGTGCTAGGCAATGGATCACTTGGAGTCCTTTATCGCTGAGTGTGATCGGAGAACCGAACTTGCCAAGAAGCGGCTGGCAGAGACACAGGACGAGATCAGTGCAGAAGTTTCTGCAAAGGTATGCCTGGGAGGTTTTCACCTTGAGTTATTTTAAAGCTTGTCTTTTTAGCATCCCACATAAAACAGGAAATGGGAAGTGGGAATACGGTTGAACTGTGGTACGTACATCCATATCACGGGATGAAGGTACATCTGTATAATTGGCCTGGGTGTCAGCTGCATTATTCTTCTGTTCTCCCTATGCAGTGGAACTAAATCTGTTCATTGGTTTTGTTTTGTTTTTTGTTTTTTTCTTTCAGTTTTGTAAAAGCATTTCTTAGGATATATGCAGTTGTTCACTGTACTAAAGGTGCTATTTAATTTCTGAAAGTAAATATAAATAATAAGGTTTTTTGTTTACAGTATAAGTTTATGTATTTAAACCTAGACATTTTTCATCTTACCCAAAGATTGAACTATGGTAGGAGACATAAAAAGAGACAGCCTAGAAAATGACCAATGTGTTGTTTTTTGCAACTGTATTGGAAGTGACAGAGATGCCACTTTTTTTAATCCTCACCTGAGTGTGTGGGGGGGTGAGAAACATTGATGTGAGAGAGACACATCAATTGGTTGCCTCCCACACAACCCTGACCAGGGTCAGGGACGAACTGCAACCGAGGTATGTGCCCTTGACTGGAATCGAACCCACGACTCATTGGTCTGCAGGCTGACACTCTAACCGCTGAACCAAACTGGCTAGGGCAATGCTACTTTTATTGGAACTCGGCACAGGTTTGGTTTATGGTCAGTGTCTCAATGTTGGCAACAAGGATATCATAATTGTCCCAATTTATGTGATCCACTGAGGATCTTCGATTATTTTATTAGTGGAACAGACCAGAAATACAGTGGGAAAAACACTCATTTTCTTTGTATTAAAAATCTTTTGTTTTTAGATGCCTGCCTGCTTGATTATTTCTCTCTCCCCTCAGGCAGAAAAAGTACATGAGTTGAATGAAGAAATAGGAGAACTTCTTGCGAAAGCTGAGCAGCTGGGAGCAGAAGGAAATGTGGATGAATCCCAGAAGATTCTTATGGAAGTGGAGAAAGTTCGTGCAAAGAAAAAAGAAGCTGAGGTTGGTGAGAAAAATGTCTTAGAGAAAGGGGAAACTGAGTAACTCCAGAGAGTTGTCTATCTGGGCTGAAATTAAGCCATACTTCTATTTTTTTTAATTAGGAAGGAGTTAAAATACTGACAGGAACCCAGTACACACCTGGATATGTCTTCACTGTGTCCCCCGTACTCCCTTTGTGACCTAAGATCAATCACTTGCCAGCTCTGAGCATAATTTCCATGTGTGGAGTACAGTCCTGAGTTTTGATTCAGTGAGGTAGTGTTAGTGAGTATATCTTGCTAAAACTCCCATAGAGCCCTGGCCGGTTTGGCTCAGCGGTTAGAGCGTCAACCTGCAGTCCAGAGAGACCCGGATTTGGTTCCCGCTAAGGACATGTACCTTGGTTGCAGTTTGTCCCCGGCCCTGGTTGGGTTGTGTGGGTGGCAACCACTCGATGCGTCCCTTTTGCATCGATGTTTCTCTCTCTCCCTCCCACTCTATCTGAACAAAATATGGAAAAATGTCCTAGAGTGAGGATAAAAAAAAAAAAGTCCCCTAAAGATCAGTTTTACTTCCTGTTCCTCTGGCTTCCTCGGGAGTTGGTGTGCTGTGATGGTTTTATTTTATTATTTTTTAAAATCTTCACCCAAGGGTTTGTTTTTTTTTTTTTTTAATCATCCTCACCCGAGGACACTTTTCCATTTTTTTGTTTAGGTAGAATGGGAGGGAGAGAGAGGAAGAGAGAGAGAGAAACATCGATGTGAAAGGGACACATCGAGTGGTCGCCACCCGCACAGCCAACCAGGGCCGGGGACAAACTGCAACCGAGGTACATGCCCTTAGCGGGAACTGAACCCGAGTCTCTCCGGACCGCAGGCCAATGCTCTAACCGCTGAGCCAAACCGGTCAGGGCAACCCAAGGATATTTTTCCATTTATCTTCAGATAGAGTGGTAGGGGGAGAGACAGAGAGAAACATCGATTGGCCCCCTCCTGCACAACACCACTCAGGGCCAGGACCGAACCGCAACCGAGGCATGTGCTCTTGACTGGAATTGAACCCACAACTCTTTGGTCCAAGGGCCAACGCTGTGACTGCTGAGCCAAACTGGTCAGGGCTTTGGTGGATTTATAGCTTGTGTGTGACTTGGCCAGAGTTGTATCGCAGATTACTATAAAAAACGAAACATGGGTGTATTATTTTATTTTTTGTTAATCCTCACCTTAATATACTTTTTCATTGATTTTTAGACAGAGTAGAAGGGGAGAGGGGGAGAGAAAGAAACATTGATGTGAGAGAGACACATCAACTGGTTGCCTCCCACACCACCCTGACAGGGGCCAGGGATTGAACTTGCACCCAGGTATGTGCTCTTGATCGGGAATCAAAATTGAGACCCTTTGGTCCTCAGGCTAATGCTCTAATCTCTGAGCTAAACCGGCCAGGGCAAAACCAGGGTGTTTTTAGTGATGCTGCATCTTTGTTAGAGAGAGCCCGTGCAGGTTGGAGTAGCATACAAGTGGTATTGGCCTGGGTGTCAGGCCAGGACACTGACTGTGTGGTAGCAGAACAAGTTAACGGCTCAGTGTTCGTATTACTGACAACCATTGCCTTCCTAGATTTTTTTTTTTTTTTTAATCCTCACCTGAGGACATTTTTCCATTTTTTGTTCAGACAGAATGGGAGGGAATGGGGGGGGGGACATCGATGTGAAAGGGACACATCGAGTGGCTGCCACCCGCACGACCAACCAGGGCCGGGGACAAACTGCAACCGAAGTACGTGCCCTCAGCGGGAACCGAACCTGGGTCTCTCTGGACCGCAGGCCGACGCTCTAACCGCTGAGCCAAACCGGCCAGGGCTTCTTCTAAAATTTTTTTTTTCTTTATTGATTTTAGAGAGAGAAGAAGGGAGTGGGAGAGGGAGAGAGAAAAACATTGATGAGCCCTGGCTGGTTTGGTTCAGCGGTTAGAGCGTCGGCCTGCGGTCCTGAGAGACCCGGGTTCGGTTCCCGCTGAGGGCGCATACCTCGGTTGCAGTTTGTCCCCAGCCCTGGTCGGTTGTGCGGGTGGCAGCCACTCGATGTGTCCCTTCACATCGATGTTTCTCTCTCTCTCTCTCTCTTCCTCTTTCTCCCTCCCACTCTACCTGAACAAAAAATGGAAAAATGTCCTCGGGTGAGGATAAAAAAAGAAAGAAAAACATCGATGAGAGAGAACATCGATTGGCCGCCTCCTGCATGCCCCTCATTGCGGATCAGGCCCACAACCTGGGCATGTGCCCTGACCGGGAATCACACCTGCAACCTCTTGGTGCATGGTCAACACTCAACCACTGAGCCACATCGGCTGGGCTCTTTCCTAGATCATTTTATCTGTTGGATACCCTGTGATTCTTGAATCCTCACCACTAGAATTGGAGATGGTTTGAGAAGGGTAGAGCCAGAGTGAGACAGGGTGTGTTCCTTTAGTAAATGCTCGCTGAGCTCCAGCTCAGTGCTAGACACTTTTCTACTTGTGAGCATGCCAGAAGAGGCCCTCCCCTCATGGAGATGGCTCAGGAGACGGGGTGGGGGCACAGACAGAAGAGAATGTGAACAGTTGGGTAAGATTTGTTCAGATGAACATACATGCTCAAAAGAAATGGGGTCTGAGTTTGAGAGTGACCATGGGTTGTAGGGGGTCTCTAGGTAGGGTAAGGTAGCCCTGAAGGCCACTTAGCTGGCTGAGATCCACAGACTGAGAAGTTTATCAGAGTGGTGGGGACAGGACAGCCAGGTAGAGATGAGGTGATGGCATGTACTTGTCCTGGTGCAGGTCTGGTTTTGGTTATCACTATACCCCTGGCTCAGCATGGTGTACCTAATAGGATAGTGTCAAAGGCCCATAGGTATTAGAGCAGTGCCTACTGAGGCAGTGACAAGTTGAAGAGACAGTGTAATAGGGTTAATGACAATGGGGCTGTCAGGACCCCTTTTCTTGGTGCCCCAACACAGGCTAGAATTGAGGTCAGCAATGTTTGTTGGAAGGTGGTGCTGAGATAATGCATCATGGCCCTGGCTGGTTTGGCTCAGCGGTTAGAGCGTTAGCCTGCGGTCCAGAGAGACCCGGGTTCGGCTCCCGCTAAGGGCGCATACCTTGGTTGCAGTTTGTCCCCGGCCCTGGTAGGTCGTGTGGGTGGCAGCCACTCGATGTGTCCCTTTCACGTTGGTGTCTCTCTCTCTCTCTCTCTCTCTCTCTCTCTCTCTCTCTCTCTCTCTCTCTCCTCTCTCTCCCTCTCCTCTCTCTCTTCCCCTCTGTCCCTCCCACTCTATCTGAACAAAAAAAATGGAAAAATGTCCTCGGGTGAGGATAAATAAATAAATAAAATAAGATAATGCATCATGTGCTTGTCAGACCAACATCCCAACATGATATTTATAGGTAATATAATCCATTTTTGAACATAAAAGAGGAACAAAAGAATTCACAATACATATCTGATGTGATTTTTTTCTCTTCCATTGAAATGTTAGATAGCGTGGAAGGGATGGATGGAGGGAGGGAGGGAGAGAGGGAGAGAAACATTGATGTAAGAGAGACACGTTGATTGGCTGCCTCCCACATGAACCCTACCAGGCTGGAAATCGAACCTCCGACCCTTTGATCTAACTGCTGATCCAAACCGGCCAGAGCCACTTTATTTTTTTTTTTTTAATTTTTAATATGTTTTTACTGATTTTTTTAGAGGGAGAGGAAGGAAGAGAGATAGAAACACCAATGTGAGAGAGAAAACATGGATTGGCTGCCTCCTGCACGCCCCCTACTGGGAATCGAGCAGGTGCCCTGACTGGGAATTCAACCAGGACCTCTCAGTCCGTGGGACAGTGCTCAGTCCACTGAGCCACACAAGCTGGACTCATCATTCTATTTTCTTTTTTCAGGAAGAATACAGAAATTCCATGCCTGCATCCAGTTTTCAACAGCAGAAGTTGCGTATCTGTGAAGTCTGCTCAGCCTACCTTGGTCTCCACGACAATGACCGTCGTCTTGCAGACCACTTTGGGGGCAAATTGCATTTGGGGTTCATTCAGATCCGTGAGAAGCTTGATCAGTTGAGGGTACGTTAATGTATTGTGTTTCTGGAGAAACCTGAGAAGTCTTGGGATCTTCTTCACATTTATTTCCTTCTAGAAAACTTTGTGTGCTGATCCTCTCTAAGAACGTGCCTTGAATTTTATAGTGAAATGCTTCATTCATCATTTCATTCACACAAGAAACCTAAGAGGCTGTGGATATTTATTTAGTCTATATCCTTTTTATATGAAGATAATGGCAGAGTCCATTACTGGATACGGACACCTCTTGTACATCTCTGAAATAACTTCTATTAGGAGATGGGAAAGAACCAGTAGTCTCTAGTTTTTCTTCTTGGACAGAGCAATGCATGGAGAATGGTTAGGCTAGATGGAAGATGACACATCCTGGCCTTTGCCTTGAGACAACTTAGGACGAGAAGGTGATTGTTTTCCTGGGTTAGACTAAAACATTTGACATCTTGGGTCGAGAACACTCAGAAGAAAGGATGAACACGTTTCAGATACTTAGAATTGTTGTTCTCCAAATTGACAGGAGTCTTCCCTGCTGTGTACTGTGTGCTAAAGATGGGATGCTGGGCCCTGGCTGGTTTGGCTCAGCGGTTAGAGCATCAGCCTGTGAACCAGACAGTCCTGGGTTCGGTTTCCCTAAGGGCACGTACCTTAGTTGCATTTTATTCCCAGTCCTGGTTGGGGTTGTGTGGGTGGCAACCAGTCGATGTGTCTCTCTTACATCTATATTTCTGTATCTCTCTCCTGCCCTCCCTCTCTCCTGCTCTCTCTGAAGATAAATGCAAAAATGTCCTCGGGTCAGGATAAAAAAAAAAAAGATGGGATGCTGGGAAATAGGCAGGTTTTCCCTCCAGAAACCTGAAACCTGGTGGAAGGACAAACACATGGCACCTGACTATAGGACACTATGATAATCAAGACTGAGACCCTTGTGTGCCTCTCAGGAAGGAGCAGTGGGTGGCAGGGCTATGCATCCAAGGTGAGGTCCCCAGAAGGTGATGTGTGATCTCAGCACTGGGCAAGGGAGCTGGGGTGGCAGTGAGGTTATTCTCAGCCACTGGACTTGACACATTTCACTCCTGTGCTCCCAATAAAATTTTGAAAAATTATATACTGTCACACATTTTTTTTTTAATCCTCACCTAAGGATATTTTTCTATTTATCTTCAGATAGAGTGGGAGGACGAGAAAGGGAGAGAGAGAGAAATACCAATGCAAGAGGAACACAACTGGCTGCCTCCCATATGCCCTTGAACAGAATCTAACCCGAGACTCTTTAGTCCACGGGCCAGCGTTCTGTTGCTGAGCCAAACCGTCCAGGGTTACTGTTGCACATTTTTAAGTCAGAATATTTTCTTTATAAGTTTATGGGTATCAAAGATGTAAAAATACTTTATATGTGGCCAGTAGAACATAAATAACAATTTTGTGTTTGTCCCCATTTAAAAAATGTGCCCCTTGCCCAGCTGGTGTGGCTTAGTGGTTGAGCATTCACCCATGCACCAAGAGGTCAGGGCACATTCCTGGATTGTGGGCCTGATTCCCAGTGGGGGCACGCGGGAGACGGCCAGTCGATGTTCTCTCTCATCGGTGTTTCTATCTCTCTCCATTTTCCTCTCTAATATCAATAAAGAAAAAAATAAAAAATACACCTTAGCATTTGGAAATGTCACATTCCCATTGCTCCTTTTTTTTGTTTTGTTTTTGGGGTTAATCCTCATCCAAGGATATTTTTCCATTGATTTTTAGATAGATTGGGAGGGAGGAAGGGAGAGAGAGAAAAACATCGATTGGTTGCTCTCCAGCATGACCTTGACCAGGGCTGGGGATCAAACCTGCAACCAAGGTACGTGCCCCTGACTAGGAATTGAACCCATGACCTTTGGTTCTCAGGCTGATGATCTAACCACTAATCTACATTGGCTAGGGTTATAAAGCTTTTTTTTTTTTTTTTTAATTCCTCACCCGAGGATATTTTTCTATTTATCATTAGATACAATAGGAGGGAGGGAGGGAGGGAGACAGAGAAACATTGATGTGATTGAGCCATATCAACTGGTTACCCGCATGACCTGACCAGGGTTGGGGACCAACTGCAACTGAGGTATGTGCCCTTGACTGAAATCGAACCTGCAACACATTGCTCTGAGGGCTGATGATCTATACGCTGAGCCAAACCGACCAGGACCGATAAAGCTTTTTTTTTTAATCCTCACCTGAGGACATTTTTGCATTTATCTTCAGATAGAGTGGGAGGGAGAGAGGGAGGAAGAGAGAGAGAAAAACATCGATGTGAGAGAGACACATCAACTGGTCACCACCCACATGACCCCAAAAAGGGCTGGGGACAAACTGCAGCTGAGGTACACGCCCTTAGAGGGAACCGAACCCAGGACTCTGGTCCACAGGCCCACGCTCTAACCACTGAGCCAAACTGGCCAGGGTGCCAATAAAGCATTTTTAGGTGAGTTTTCTATTTTTCATTGTTTAAGAAGTTTTTAAATTGATCATGTTCCTGTATTTTAAGTTTCTCTTAGCCTGGCCAGTGTGGCTCAGTGGTTGAGCATCGTTCCATGCACCAAGAGGTCACCAGTTTGATTCCTGGTCAGGGCACATGCCAAGTTGTAGGCCTAATCCCCAGTTGGGGCATGCAAGAGGCAGCCATTTGATTTTCTCTCTCATTGATGTTTCTATCTCTTCCTCTCTCTAAAATCAATTTAAAAAAAAGTTTTTAAATTTTCTCTTAGATTTTTTAACTACCAATACTGAGATCATATAAGTGTGCTTTATTAAACAGTTTTTACACTCTAGTTTGTATAATTTGCTCTTCTTTTGTTTTCCAATTTTTTATTTAGAAAACTGTGGCTGAAAAGCAGGAGAAGAGAAATCAGGATCGCTTGAGGAGGAGAGAAGAGAGGGAGCGGGAGGAGCAGCTGAGCAGGAGGTAAGCCTACAATAGCACATGGGCCTAAGTAAACTCCTGCTTCTTTCATTGCAGTGTTGCTAATAACAGTTGAGGTCTGCTAAGTATCTGAGTGGCCAGTAAAAGAAAATAAGCAAACTCGAAGCATATTTAGTTAAGCGAGGTCTTGGCTGTCTTGTGTGTACAGACGTGCAGCGCTGGACTGGGCCATCTTCAGCTGCATAAACGCTCTGGTGACCTAATTCCTATCGGAAAAGGTGTAGACTTCCCCTGAAGGGTAAACAGGAGAAGGAGAGGAACTTGCTGCACTGTGACTCCTGTGGATGTAGCATTCTGAGCAGGTGTCACACTGCTATGCCTTCCTGTGGGGGAAGGACCTTTGGGTTATTTAGCCTCTGGCATTAACTTGAGTATTGTAGGGCCAGTGGAGGAGGTTGGGATCTGCTGTCTTGTTGTGAATAAGTGCAGATGGTAGAGGTGGAAACAGTGAGAACAGTGAGGAGCCACCTGGAAGAGTCCAGAAGGAGAAGGTGGCAGCTTGAATCAGGTGAGGGTGGGAAGGGTCTGGGTGTAGGGTTGATAGGATTTGTTGGTAGTCAGTTTTGAGGCATGGAAAGGGGGAATGGAGCTGGCCTCATGGTTTCTGGCCTTGAGCGGCCACTTACAGATGTGGGGAAGACTAGGAGCAGTGTATTGGGGTGAGGAGGGTATAGGGAATATAATTTGGTTCTGGCTGTACTCAGTTTGAGATGCCTAGGAGACATCCAGGTAGAGATGTTGAGTCTGGTCGGAGTTCAGGGAAGAGACTTGAGCTCTCCTTTTGGGCACACAGCTCATTGTCCTGGAAAGGCCCAGAAACTGGGCTTTGCTGAAGGAATTCCTCAGTGCATAACTGAGAAAGGAGAAATAAGTATTTATTGTATTTTTATGTTTGTTTTTTTAAATTATCTAACAGATTCTGTTTACAAAGAGACAAACAGTATAAAAATATATTAAGCAGCCTTGCTGGTGTGGCTCAGTGGTTGAACATCGACCCATGCACCAAGAGGTCACCAATTCAATTCCCAGTTAGGGCACATGCCCAGGTTGTGGGCCTAATCCCTAGTGGGGGGCAGGTAGGAGGCAGCCAGTCGATGTTTTCTCTCATCGATGTTCCTATCTCTCCCTCCATTTCCCTCTAAAAATAAATAATAAATAAAAATATATTAAGCAAAACATTCAAGTCCCTTTTTACACAGAGGTGACCACTATGGTGGTGGGTTGTGTCTGTGTGGCACCTGATCTCTGAGATCATTCCTCAGCAGGTGTGTTCTTATAATGGTGTCTCATAACTGAGTATCTTTTTTCATCCTTTTTATTTACTTTCCCACCCCCTGCCTGTGTATCTGAGTTTGAGGGTGGTTTTTTTTTTTTAATTCCACATATTAGTGAAATCATACAGTATTTTTCTTTGTTTGCCTGACTTATTTCACTTAGCATAAAACCCTCAAGGTTCATCTATGTTGTCACAAATGGTAAGATTTCCCCCTTTTGTATGGTTTTAAATTTTTTTTGTTCAGATAGTGGGAGGGAGGGACAGAGAGAAACAAACATCAACGTGAAAGGGACACACTGAGTGGTTGCCACCCGCACGACCCAACCAGGGCCGGGGCCAAACTGCAACCGAGGTACTTGCCCTTAGCGGGAACCGAACCCCCCCCCCCCCCCCCCCCGGGTCTCTCCGGACCGCAGGCCGATGCTCTAACTGCTGAGCCAAACCGGCCAGGGCTTGAGCACCTTTTTATGTACCCATTGGTATTTGTATGTCTTTGGAGAAATGTTTATGCAGATTCTCTGCCCTTTTTTAAATCTAATGTTTTTTCTTCTGAGTTGTAAGAGTTCTTTATGTGTTTTCAATTTTAATCCCTTGCCCAGATACATGATTTGCAAATATTGTTTTGTATTTTGTAGTTACCTTTTCATTTTGTTGGTGGTTTCCTTTGCTGTACAGAAACTTTTTAGTTTGATATAGTCCCACGTATTTATTTTTGCTGTGGTTGGCTGTCTTTTTTTTTTTTTTTAATTAGAGAGAGAGTGAAATACCGATTTGTTGTTCCACTTATTTATGTATTCATTGGTTGATTCTTTTCTTTTTAAATATGTTTTGTTTTATTTTTAGAGAGAGAGAGAGAGAAACATTGATTGGCGACCCAGGCATGTGCCCTGACCAGGAATAGAACTGGGATCTCTCAGTCCATGGGATGACACTCAGTCCACTGAGCCACACTGGCTAGTCATTGTTGGTTAATTCTTGTATTGGCTCTGACGGGGGATCAAACCTGCAACCTTGGTGTATTGGGACGACCTTCTAATCAACTGAGCTACCTGACCAGGGCTGTTGCCTATCCTTTTTTATTTTAATATTTTAAAATATGAGAGATTGTCCAGCTGTTGCGGCTTAGTGGTTGAGCGTCGACCCATACACTAAGAGGTTGCTGGTTCAATTGCCAGTCAGGGCACATGCCCAGGTTGTGGGCCAAGTTTCCAGTGGAGGCATGGGGAGGTGGCCAGTTGATGTTCTCTCTCATCGATGTTTCTGTCTCTCTCCGTCCTACCTTCCTTTCTCTCTAAAATCAGGAAAGAAAAAAATTTATTTATTTATTTATTTATTTTATCCTTACCCGAGGGCATTTTTGCATTTATCTTGGGGGGGGAAGAAAGAGAGAGAGAAACATCGATGTGAGAGAGACACATGAAGTGGTTGCCACCCACACAACCCCAACTGGGGCCGGGGACAAACTGCAACCGAGGTACGTGCCCTTAGCGGGAACCGAACCGGTGCCTCTCAGGTCCGCAGGCTGACGCTCTAGCTGCTGAGCCACACTGGCTAGGGCAGAAAAAATTATTTTAGTATGAAAGATACAAGATATTTTTAGGGTTGGAATGCAAGATGACTCTTTTCTTCTCTTTTTCTCTATTTATTTGAGAGAGAGAGAGAGAGAGAGAGAGAGAGAGAAACATCAATGAGACAGAAAGAACATCGACTGGCCCCCTCCTGTATGCCTCCCAACTGGGGGTCAGGCCCACAATCTGGGCATGTGTCCTAACCAGGAATCGAACTGGTGACCTCTTGGTGCATGGGTCAACACTCAACCATTGAGCCATACCGGCCGGGCGACTTTTTTTTTGTAATATGTTTTTATTGCTTGGCTGGTGTGGCTCAGTGGTTGAGCGTCAACCCATGTACCAATAGGTCATCAGTTCAATTCCTACACAGGGCACATGCCCAGGTTGCAGGCTGGATCACCAGTAGGGGGTGTGCAAATGGCAGCCAATCGATGTTGATGTGATGGTGTTTCTCTCTCATTGATATTTCTGTCTCTCCTCTCTCAACTCATTAAAAACGTTTAAAAAATAAAATGTTTTTATTGAAAAAAATTTTTTTTTGTTAGGGAGAGAGTGAAACATTAATGTGAGAGAGGAACATCAGTCAGTTGCTTCCCAAACACACCCTGACCAGGGACCGAACCCAAAACCTGAGCATGTGCCCTGACTAGGAACCTAATTGGTGACCTTTCTGTGCACCAGATGATGCTCAACCAACTGAGCCACATCAGCCAGTGCTAATTTTAAGTTTTGATGGTTGTTTTTTATAAAATTATTTTGAAGGAGTACTCTAGAGATCATCTTTGTATATGTTTGAGTGCTTTATAAAATTATTTAAAATTTCTGGAACAAAGGAATTTAATATATAAATATTCATAGGTATTACAGAAATTGCTTTCCAAGACACTTTATCAAATCACCTCAAGCCATACAGTATACGAGCATGTATTTTTACTACCTCATCAGCACATGTTGATGGCAGTCATGTAAATTTCTGCTATAAAACACTGTAAAATGAGTCCACATTGCATTGTGCATTTTTTGGATTGCTGATTGTATACTATTTTCCTAGGAGCTCATGGTAACCCTTATCTGGCAATGAACCTGCGTTTGGAACTTGATATTTTGGTTTAACTTTGGTGTCTTGGTGACTCGATTCTACCCAGCCCTGTGTCTGTTAAGTGACACTGCTTTGCTGTTTAGTGTCCACTGTGAAGATTTCACAGAGCTAGTTGTTGAAGTCAGGATACTGGTTCTGTCCTTTTGCCTAAAGCAGCTAGGAGTTGGGGGTTGGGGGTGGGCCTGCCTCATTTTGTAAACATTGACACTTGATACTACATGCCTGAAAACGAGTGAGTGGCTAGAAGATAACACAGGTATCTGTGGGAAGTTGACCCTTGTTCACCTTGTGGACTTGGGTCACCTCTCCTTAGATGTGAAGAATGGGCTGTTTTGAGGAAATTGTTTTGTTGTTGTTTTTTTTTCTTCATTTTAGGTCTGGATCAAGAACCAGAGATCTCAGGAGGTAGGTTTCCACATGCATTTTTTTTTTTTAATTCTTTTTATTTTATTTTAGAGAGAGAGAAACATCAGTATGTTGTTCCACTTCATTTATGTATTCATTGGTTGATTCTTGTATGTGCTCTGGCTGGGGATTGAACCCACAACCTTGGTGTAGCAGGAGAATGCTCTAACCAACTGCCCAGGGAACACATGCATTTTTCTTTCTTTTTTTTTTATCCTCGCCCGAGGACATTTTTCCACTTTTTTATTCAGATAGAGCGGGAGGGAGAGAGAGGGAGAGAGAAAGAAACATCAATGTGAAAGGGACACATCGAGTGGCTGCCACCTGCACGACCCAACCAGAGCCGGAGACCAACTGCAACCGAAGTACATGCCCTTAGGGAACCGAACCCGGGCCTCTCTGGACCGCAGGCCGACGCTCCAACTGCTGAGCCAAACTGGCCAGGGCCATTTTTCTTAATACTTAGCCTTTATAACTTCACAATTATTATCTGGTGGTCAGGGCTGGCTTCTAAAGGGGCATGGGCACAGGTGAGACTCGAGTCCCATCTATTGTTGGGTTGGTTGGGGCTTAGTGCAGCAGAAAGATCTGTCAATGAGAGGAAAGAGTAGAGGGCACTGCTGAGGTCTTCAGGTGACCAGGAATTTCCCAGCAAGATGTTTTCAGATAGCATTGGTGGATAGGGTCTGGTCATAATTCTTTTTTTTTTAATAATTTTTTTTTTTTTTTTAGAGAGGAAGGGAGAGGGAGAGAGAGATAGAAGCATCGATGAGAGAGATCATCAATCAGCTGCCTCCTGCATTGGCCCACCACCTAGGCATGTGCCCTGACCGGGAATCAAACCGGCGACCTCTTGGTGCATGGGGCGACGCTCAATCACTGAGCCACACCGGCAGAGCTGGTTGTAATTCTTTCTGACCAGAGATTAACTGATGGAACTATTGTGAACCCAAGCTGTAAGTTTGTGGGAGGAAAGGGAAGATATTGGTAAAGCATCAAGCAAAGTGTGCTGAGAAAAGAGGGTTGTTGGGGTGGGGCCACCACAACCTTCAGAGCCTGTGGTCATTCTTTGCAGGTCACGTTCCCGGGACCGGCGACGGAGACGGTCAAGATCTACCTCCAGAGAACGACGAAAGTCTTCCCGGTCCCGGTCCCGAGACAGACAGCGGCGCCACCGTAGTCGTTCTCGCAGCCATAGCCGGAGCCACAGCCGGGGCCACCGCCGGGCTTCCAGGGATCGGAGTGCGAAATACAAGTAACTACTCTGACTTCTTCAGTAGCTGCAACCAGGAGTGAGCCCTTTCTCTTTGTGTTCCCAGGGTCTGCTGGGGTCCGTCGGCCATACCTGTTGCTCAGGAGACTGGCTGGGCATCTGTGGGACTGAGTATTGGGGTCTTGAGGAGTGGTGAATGGGGGCCCAGAGCACTGGGAGCCCTAAGTGAGAACAGCAGATGGATTCAGGGATGGGACAACTGAGGGGCTGTGGAGGTGGTTACATATAGGCATGGCACCTACCAGGTGGCGTGCCTCACTCGGCCTGCCCACTCATTGTCACTCTGTTATACAGAGCCCCTGAGACTTGTGTCCTGACCAAGCCCTGCTTACCTCTGTTGTGGTTTTTCTAAGGGAAAGAAACACACTCATACCCCCTGTTAGTACTTTGGTATGCTTGGATTTAGTCTTCTTTTCATTGTGTTTTTACCTAATGGATTATATTTCACTTGTGGACTTTTGTTGTATTTTCTTTTGTTTGTTTATGTTATAGCTGTTATTAGAAATCTTTGAAAGTGTCACTTTTTAGTGGCTGTGGGTTGGACACGAGATGGCAGGCCTAACTGCTCTCTGGCCTGCTAGGGAGCCTTCCCAGGTATGGTGGGTCTTGGCCTTCCTTTACCTGGTGTTGAGGGTCCAAGTTGTTGGCACCTAAGGAGACAGTCAGAAGGGAGACAACAGCCTCTGCTGAGCCTCTGGTTCCCATTTCCCAGGTTCTCCAGAGAGCGGGCGTCGAGGGAGGAGTCCTGGGAGCGAGGGCGGAGTGAGCGCGGGGCCGCTGACTGGAGGCTTGAAAGCTCCAACGGGAAGACATCGGAGGAGAAGGAGGCTGGCGAGATCTGAACCCAATCCTGGGTGCTGTAAATAGTCTGATAAATGTTCGACACAGCCTGAAGTTACCCTTTATATTTGCTGAATACAACTCATCTTTTGTAGTTTAAAATTTCTATTGTTTTGGGGCTAGCTGTGAGTTTCTAGAGGTGTACAGAATTGCTCCTGTGTTCTGGGGTTATGTTCAGTAGGAGTAAATAAATCTGACTGCTGCAGTGGGTCTCGCTGTCCGTCCCTGTATGTTCTAGACACTTCACCTCGGCCTTCCACAGGTGGTGATGACAACAGGCGCCCATTTCAGTGAGCTTTGCTCACTTTCAGAAATTGTGACTTACTGTTGTACTCCCCTTTGACTGTGGTCATCTGACAACTCCCACCACCCCTTTCCCTAATGACTGGATCCAGGTGAGCCAGGCTGTCTGCTGATAGGCTGCTCCTGGCCTTTCTTGAGTGCCTGAGCTGCCTGGCTGCACCCCTCAGTGCAGACCACAGGTTCCGCTAGGGAGAAGGGAGGTACCCCATTTGCACACGTTTCTTTAGGAATTTAGACCTGTCTGGTTTGCTACTACTATGGCCTCAGCCTGGCACCTTAGCTGAGGGGAGCAACACTGCAGTTTCTACACTATCCACATGACCGTCACAAGGCCCTCAGAGGAGGCTAATACGCTTGTGATCTGATTCACGCTCAGAGAGGGCCAGTGGTGTTATCCACTGTTTCTCAGCTCTTCATATCGCAGTTACTGTTCCAGAATGAGCCCTTCTGGAAGGATAACTGGGAGCTTTTTTCCCTTTTTCACTTCAGCGAGGTTTTTGGTTTATTTTTGGAAGGAGCTTCTGATGGTCTCATTGTGAATACAGTCCTCCCCACCCCTTCTATGCAAAGGCCGGTTGGCTCCATGAGCATATGGGCATTGGGTCTGGATCTTGTGGCTACCAACACCGTAATGTGGCTGATGGTCCTGCTATGGGCTCCTCTGCCGCAGTCTGTCTCCTTATTGGAAGATGTGCAGATAGGTGAACCTGCTCTGTTGGCTTGTGACACAGGTTTTCCCTGCCTCGGAAAGGAGGGTATCCCTCCACCCAAGCCTGCAGCTTAGGCTGAACCAGAACAAAAGCAGCATCACAGGAGGCTCTCTGTTTGGTGTGTACACCAAGCTAGCTGGGGAGAGGCATGTCCTCTTGGGTTTAGCCTTGAATGGATTAAAGGTGGTCCTGGGAGGGGAGAGGCAAAGGGAATGAGCTGGGGTCATGGGTTCCTGACTCACTTGTACAGCCTGGCCTGTGACGGGGGTGCTGGACTAAAGCTGGAAGAAGATACCCCAGTTCAGGGTTGGGAGTACACAGCCAGGAGACTGGGCTGTAGAAGTACCTCCTACGTCTGTCATCCCTTGGGGGTAAGGGTGGGGGTTCTTTTTATTATAGTAAAATAGGCATAAAATATAACATTTTTAAGTACACTTGAATGGCATTAAGTGTATTTGTGTGTTGTGCGTGGAGGGGGTGTGGTTTTGAAAAGGCATATGTCCCTGGATTTAGGAGTAGGCCTGGGGTCCTAGCTAGAAGGCAGGTGGAGCTGAAGTCACGATAGCCCTAGAAGGGCCCGGAGGGCTGCAGCTTCTTCCTGCATACCTGGCCTCTCTCTAGTTGATCCATGACCCAGGTGGTCTGAGCCCTTGTGCTGGGAGGACAGGATCTTGACTTTGTTACCCAGCTTTTCCAACCCTAGTGCTGAAGGTACCCACCCACCTGCCCTTGGTGCACCGAGCTCTTGGGTGCCAGGAGAGCAGCGAACAGTGGTCTTGCCTTCTGGGTGAGCATAGAGGAGGTGAGACTGATAGGGGCAGTGCACAACATGGCATGAGCTACTCTAAGGATGCTACAACCCCTCATCCCCACTTTAGATCCCAGCACAGAGGGGAGCTCCCAGATGAGAGCTTGGGGGGCTAGGGGGAATGGCACAGGGTGCTAAGAGGAGGTCACTCATAAACCATGAGGGGCTTGGGCCTGGAGGAGCCCCACCCCACCTTGAGTCCTCTCTCTCTGTAAAAATAAAAAAATGTGGGAAACAGGTATTTGTTTACAGAGAAGCAGGGATGCAGGTCAGGGCTGTTACTGTCCCTGAGGAGAGTTGAGTGGGCAGAGCCAACAGATACATATCCTCCAAGGTCATGGTAGATTCCAGGCCCCTTAGGTTCACCCCAGTTACTGTGTCTTGGGGACTTCCCCCACCCACACTTTGCTTCTGGCCAGTGGAAGAGGACATGGTGATAAGCACCTGTGTGGGTTGTGAGGTCTCCTAATCCTGCATGGAGGCCCCAGGCTGTTCTGAGGTAGGCATGGCTTCTGGGGCTGCCCATTCTACTCACACTGGGGATCTCTGGCCAGGTCCAGGGCTACAGTCTGGGAAAGGGAGGGCTGTAGAAACCGCTGGCCGTGCAGCCTGCATGGGGGCTCACAGGATCCAGAGCAGAGCCTAGCCTTGGGGCGCACCCACCCTGGGCTTCACTGGCAGGCCCTGGGCCCTCACTGTATCATGTGTGTGGGTACCCTCTCTAGGATAGCTGGGCTGCTCAGTAGCTGGGTGCACTTGGCTACTGAGAACTGCGGGGGCTTCCTGGAGGAGTTAATTGCCCTGCCACGATTCAGGCAAGTCAGGGACCCTTCCTGACCTCACTTGGGAAGAAGATGGTGGCCACAGTAGGGTTTGGGGTCTGTGGAGACTGGGTCAGTTGAAAGGTTCTTGGACTTGATAGTGTCAGAATTACCAGACTTGTTAAAACAGGTTGCTGCCCCCCTCTCCCAGATTTTCTGTTCGTCTGGGGAGGGGCCTAAGAACATACACTTTTATTTTGTAGGTTAGTTTCTTTTTGTTTTGTTTTTTAAGATAAACTCAACATAAAATTCAGTATTTTGCCCTGGCCATTGTGGCTCAGTTGACTGGAACATCCTCTCATACACCAAAAGTTGGTGGGTTTGATTTCCAGTCAGGGCACATAACCATATTGCAAATTTGATCCCATGTCAGGCGTGTTTCAGGAGGCAACTGATTGATGTTTCTCTCTCCCTCTCTCTAAAATAAAATTTTTTTTTTTATCCTCACCTGAGGATATATTTCCATTTGTTTTTGTACAGATAGAGTGGGAGGGAGAGAGAGGAAGGGAGAGAGAGAGACAAACATCGACGTAAAGGGACACATCGAGTGGCTGCCACCCGCACGACCAACCAGGGCCGGGGACAAACTGCAACCGAAGTATGTGCCCTTAGCGGGAACCGAACCCGGGTCTGTCCGGACCGCAGGCCGACACTCTAACCGCTGATCCAAACCGGCCAGGGCTCTACAATAAAATTTTAAAATTGTTTAAAATTCAACATTTTAATAACTTTATTTTTAAAATTTTTTTATATTTTATCCTCACCCAAGGACATTTTTCAATATTTTGTTCAGATAGAGTGGGAGGGAGAGAGAGAGAAACATCAACATGAAAGGGACACATTGAGTGGTTGCCACCCACATGACCCAACCGGGGCTGGGGACAAACTGCAACCGAGGTACGTGCCCTTAGCGGGAACCGAACCCGGGTCTCTCTGGACTGCAGGCCGATGCTCTAAGCGCTGAGCCAAACCGGCCAGGGCAACATTTTAATAACTTTAAAGTGTACAATTTAGTGGCTTTTAGTATATTCATAATGCCATCTAATTCACCACTATGTAATTTTAGAATATTTCCTTCCCCAGAAGGAAACCGTGTATCCATTGGCAGTCACTCCCCTTTTGCCCTGCCCCCTACCATTGTAGAACACAACCATGTAATCTACACTCTGTCCGTGGATTTGCCTGTTCTGGACATTTCTCTAAGTGTAAGCATGCAGTAAGTGCCCTGTGATAGCTTCTTTTATTGAGCACAGAGTTTACAAAGTTCATCCTCGCGGTAGTTGGTATTAATGAGTTGCTGATGCTGCTGGTCCAAAGGACACTAAGAACTGGAGTGAGCCCTGGCCAGGTTGGCTCAGCGGTTAGAGCGTCGGCCTGCGATCCAGAGAGACCTGGGTTCGGTTCCCGCTAAGGGCATGTACCTTGGTTGCAGTTTGTCCCCAGCCTTGTTGGGTCGTGCAGGTGGCAACGACTCGATGTGTCACTTTCATGTCGATGTTTCTCTCTCTCTCTCTCTCTCTCTCTCTCTCTCTCTCTTTCTCCCTCCCTCCCTCCCTCTCCCACTCTATCTGAACAAAAAATGGAAAAATGTCCTCGGGTGAGGATATTAAAAAAAAAAAAGAAGAACGAGTGAGTCAGCAGGAGAGAGGGTTCTGGGAGCTGGGGCACCAGCTTTAAATCCTGAATGGGCAGCTCTTATGGAATGTGAATTGAGATGCTCTCTGACTCTCTAAAAGCAGGTCGCCCAACTTTAACCATCAAGGCACTTGCCGAAGATAATACTTGTTCTGTTTGGACCCTAAGAAAAGAGAGTTGAGTCATCACGTCCTCAGTTGCTGGCATAACATGTTCCTTTATGTGCACAGTCCCTATACCAGCTCCTCTACCTCACCCACATCCCCACAAATGCTTTAACCTGCGAGCAGGGTCAAAGTTGATGGCTGCTCATGGATCAGCACAAGGTCTGCCAGCAGATGCCCCTGGTCCCTGGCCCAACCCATGGAGAAGTACTGACCATCCTCTCAGGATTGCCAGTCAGAGGTGGCCCGCCCGCCCTCCCTGGGGGTATCTGGGAGCCCCTAGGGAGGGCCCAAGCACCCATAGTTCTTTAGTGCTTTCCCTTCCCTTCCTCCTGCTCTTCCCTCTTTTCCGGAGCTTCGGCATCTACCAGCTCCCCTCCTGCCTTTGGCCTTTTGCCCATGTCACCCTGCCGGCCAGATTCCCCTAGGAGCAGCTGTGGGGCTGCCTGCCAAGGAGGTTGTGCAAGGGTACCTGTGCTACGCCATCCTCACAGTACAGGAGAGGAGCTGTGAGAGGGAAAGGGATTTCCCCTCTAGGACTCGGGCCACCTTGTACTTTTTGAGATATAATTGACAAATAACTGTATTAGTTTCAAGGTGTACAACATAATTCAACACTTGTAAGCTGCTAACTGATCACCACAATAAGCCTTGTTAACATCCATCACCACACATAGTCACAAAACTTTTTTCTTGTGATGAGAACTTTTCAGCTCTACTATCAGCCACTTTAAAAGTAGACTACAGGCCCTGGCCGGTTTGGC